TGTGCTGAAAAATAACGTTATTATTCAATTAAATATAGCTCAAAAAGTCATTAGCATGTTTACCGTTATGGAGCTGCTTTATTTTTTTTCAACTTGTCTCGGGGTGTCCAAAAGTAAATGTATTAAATACAATACACTTTTTTGTCCAAAAAAATCTCATTCATAAGAATGCAAGCATATTTGTCACACAGTAGAGCTCCCCCAGCTCAACATTTACAGGAGTGCTGTTTGGAGACCAAAAAATTGCATCAATATGTTCTTAAATCTCATCTTGCTTGAAGGGGACTCCAGCTACAGGCCCTTTTTTGGCCTCTCAGCAGCGTTGCCTCTAAGCTGTGCGGCGTGCGGACCTGCGCAGGTGCACTCATGCCGCACTGCCAGGCGCAGCCACACAGCTTAGAAGCAACACTGCCTCTCAGGCATACTACCCGAGTATGGGGCTCTCCTTATTTTACCCTTCCCTGATATGGGACCTCCTTATGCCCCTAGAATTGTCCTACGCTCCCAGAACCAGGAGTTTAGGCACAGTTTCATAAAGGTTCAACTTTGTAGCTACTTTGGATTTCTACTTCACCTCTTCAGGGACAAGTGAAAAGCTGAACCAGATTTTTTTTAATGGCTCCTAGAACTAAACATCAGCTACAAAGTGGAGCTCTATCACTCACCCTCCTGATCCAACAAAAAACATCTGCTGGGTCGCGAGGGTCAGCCTAACTCATGATGCTTCTGTGAAACGCCGAGTTAGACCAGAGAGCAGTACATTTGTCAGCACCCAAAATTTCTCCTCTTTCCTCTACAACCAGTTTTCCTCTGTCTCCCCAATGGGTTTCATATTTTAAAAAACACCCTGATTCTGAAAAAGCATACTCTTTTGTTCCTCTCTCCTGCCTCATTCTGTGGGAACACAAGGCTTCCTGTCTCAGCAAGAATGACCCTCTCTCAGCCTTCTGTTCATTTTGGGAGATGATCACATTCACTGATCAGGTGATCCATTGCTAAGTTCTTCTCCCTCCATCCCAGAGTTCAGCCTTCCAAAGCCATTTTTCTCAGGGTGACAGCCATCTCATTATCCAATGGTACCCCAAGTGAAGGAAAAAAAATTATCAAATTTAACAATCCTAATTTTTTGTTAAGGGCCAGGTTCAAGAATTTCTCAGTATTTCCTTGGTTTCTCTCCCCATAAATGGCAAAAAAGTGCAGAGAAGTCAAACACCTTCAAATGGAATTTGCAATCTGAGATGCAATCTGTGATATCAAACACGTTTATATTTTAGATATAAAATATACGTCTATAAATATATATAGACAAGTGCCCCAAACTATCGTGTTGCCCATTAAAGTATATTACTGGGGATCGAACACCTTCAAGTCAGTTCATGCAATACAACACCCCATTGTGCTAGACCAGGGGTTCTCAACCTTTTTAGACTCAAGGCACCACTGAGAAAATTCCAGCTCTTAGGGGGTTTTTTTATACTTTATTTTACTACAGAAAAATAAACCAATTTTTCTGTTGAAAAGAACTCAAAGACCACAATTACGGATTTCTAGCTAAAATCCTTGGCTAGGTACAGACGTTCAAAAAGCCCAGGTGGAATTGATCTAAGTTACGTAGTTTTTTTTGTAAGAGATGTAGTTTAGACCAGTAGCAACAGAATACGTATTCACCTGGGAGGGGGTGGCAGGAAGTCTGCAAATCTTAGACCAGATTCTGCCATTTTTAAACCAGTCTGCACATGCTGAATTTCTGTTCGGTTATGGGTATAGACCGTGTCGCGGGGCTCTTCCGTGCCCCGCTCCTAAGGAGGCCCCACCCCGGGAAGGGAAGGTGTGTAGCTGAGCACTAGGTTGCTCGCTACTAGCAAGCGTAATACGGGCGGAGCTGTCAGTCAACAGGGCAGCCCCACTGGCAGTTGCTGAGGCAACAGATTGGGTCAGCTGACCGGAAGAGGGGCAGGGCCTGGCCTTTATAATCAGACAGGCGGAGGTCACAGTCAGTTCCCCTCTGGCAGCCCGAGGAGCAGGAGCTCTGCTGCTGCAAAGCAAAGCCGAGCCCAGCCCAGCCCAGCCCAGCGGTCTGGAGTTAAGCAGAGCAGCCAGAGCGCTCCAGTGTCCGTATAATGATGAGAGGGGGTGAAGAGAACCCTGGCAGAGAGGTGAGGGAGCGCCTAGGTGGCGCGCAGTTTAGGTTACAGCCCAGCGGCTTCTTTTGTGTTGTAGCCGGTTGGCTCAGGGCTTTATGTTGCTAGTTTGTTATTATTATACCGGAGGACCGGGTGAGGCTGTAGGGGTGTGAGGAGGCCTCACGGGAGCTCCCCAGTAGTCTGGGGGTTCCTGGGTGCCCTGTACGGGCACAGCAAGCAGTGCCTGGGAGGCACGGCTGTTGGGCGCCGGTGTGGCACTGCGTGTGGGGTGTTAAGACCCCAGCCCGTGAGGGCGGTATTTTGCCCACCAGGGCATAGGACCCCGAGAAGGGTCAGGGGGCCAGGCACGGCTACGGCCCAGCTGAACCCCAGGCGCAAGAAGCGCAGGACAGGCCCAGAGAAGGGTGCAGATAGAACTAGGAGCCCGGAGTAGGGCCAGGCGCGCGGTGAAGAGCCCGAAGAGGACAGAGTGTGCGGTTGAGAAGCCCGGAGAAGGGCGAGAGTGTGAACAGAAGCCCAGGAGGGGCGAGTATTGCGGAAAGGCCCCAGAGAGGGGGCAAACAGATGAGGCACGCATACTGAGTGACCCCAGAGAGAAGGGGTGCACGTATTGAGAGACCCCAGGAAGGGGCAAGCATACAGACAAGAGAACGTCCGGCACATCTGTGAGGCTTGGGGTGTGCTAAAGGGAATGTTGGAGGCACGTGTAGCCCATAAGGCAGGGTGCACCAGTTCAGAGTAGGGCCAGTACGAGAGCGCTGTGCCCAAGGGGACGGAAGGCAGCCTCCCACTGATAATCATAAGATCAAAGACGTGGCGGGCGAGACGGAGGGTGCATTTAGGACCCAGACCGTGGTGGCACGGTAGGGACGCCAGGGAGATCACAGCTGCCCCGGCGCTCCGCCCCGTGCCAGACCGGTTTTATGTTATGGGTATAGACTGGTTTTCGATTACTTATACCAAAAAAGGGTAATGTCTGTACCTGGCCTTTGGGTTTATCTCGACTCGTGTTTGTAAACCTAATGTTGCTAACATTGTGTGGCACTCCATGGCAGCCATGAAAGGATCCCAAGGCACCTCAAGATGCCATGGTACCTTGGCTGAGAATTACTGTCCTAGACAAATTCTCAGTCCTTCCTTTTGTCTTGTACAGGACAGAAAGGGAACAGGTGGCTTTAGGCCACCTTTCTGCCCCCTCAATTCTTAGTGATGCCAACAAAACATATTATAAATTAGACAAGTCTGTTCTAAATTGCACTGGCATATAACAATCTTCTACAGGTGGCACCATCACCTTTTCAACAGCACTCTGATGGCTCCAAAATCCTGTTCGGCAGCGGGTTTTCTGAGGGAGCTGTTTAAGCCTCTTTTAAATTGCCCAAACACTTTAAACAGTCCACTCTACAGGAGAGTGTCAAGTCTTCAGTCTTTCTGCTGAAATCAACTTTTTCTACCAAGCTAAACCAAATATTTACTTTGTTCTAATGATTGTATTTTATTTGATTTCCAGATGACATACTACTGCATTTCAGAGCATCAATTCTCTCTTTTGTTTTTGTTTTAAATAAGCAGCAGCTGATTTTGCAAATGTTCATAACTGAGGTCCTTGTTCAGGAAATCATATAGACATTTATCCTCTACAAGATCTATCCTTTGCCTAATCAGACTTATGAGACTTAAAGTTTTTAAGCCAGTTACTGTGGTTTCAATGAAGTACCTTGTCCCCTTTCCTCAGAGCCCTTTTCTTTACTATTACAGGTGGAGGTTTGATCTGCAGGATGCTTCTTCTACAATACCCACAAGATGTCGCCATTGCTAAAAAAAAAAACTTCTTGAAGTAAATCCTCAAGTTCCTTTGCCATTGTAATTTCAAGACATTTACAGGGGAGCCAACTTTTACTCCAGTTCTATTGATCAACAAACCAAAGGAATTTAATCCTTCAAACACTCTCTTAGGTATATTATCTCTAACAGCTAAATAAAGTCCGAGATAACAATTAGTACTTTCTTTCTGTCACTTAAGTAACAAGCAATGATGACCTGCGATGCCCAGAGTGACAAACTTGTTAAGTCATATGAAGCAAATCTAAATAGTTTGTTTGAGAGGAGAATGGCAATTTAAATAAGCAAGAAGCTAATCTAGCTAAAACTGGTAAGAGAATTTTAGATTAACAGTTAAATTCTGTTTGGAACTTAGAATTAAAATTTTTAAAAAGTAATCTGTTAGCAGGTAGATACTATGGCCTAGGTCCTCAAAAGTACAAGATCAGCCAATTATTTGAACTTTTTTGAAAAAACTCTACCCAAGCACTACTTTTGGATACTTCATCCAAAAAACTTCTGTAAATGAGAAAGAAAAAAATAATGAAAGACGTAGGAGGAAGTGATTTGTGATGACTGGAGAAAAGGAAGCAAAGAAAATAACTACTTAACGTAATAGTTAACTACAGCAAAAATCCTGGAGAGGTAATAACATAAAACCAAGTAGTAAATGTTTACTCTGTGGGATAACAAGTGTGCCAAAAAGCAATAAACTAAGAAAGGAAATAGCAGAGGTTTCAAAAGCATTAAAAAAATTAATAGAAGGAGCAATTTAGGCTCTGGAGGGAGCTGAGAAACTGTCTTTAGCAGTACTCAATCTGTTCAGAATTCTTGCAGGACTACTATCAGTAACTGAACCTACATAAAAATACCAAGAGGAGATTGTTGCTCCACATAAAATACCTAACCTCATTTAGAAACATTTTTTAAATTAAGCATTAACTTTATAATGATTTAAATTTGGAGAATAGGTAAGACGAGATAAATTAAGACTCTTCTAGTACACTGACTTCTTTTTTAAAAACAAACACTTACCTTGCCAGCTATCATTGCATACACACAGCTTCTCGCCTGTCAGATCACAGTAGCCATGATCTGGGCTGCCACAGTTAGCTTTACAATAGGGAATATCACAGGCTTCACCTTTCCAATACTTGTCACATTCACAATATACCCGGCTTGGAATGGAGACACTGGTTGTGCATTTCCCATGCCCTGAGCAATTGTTAGGACAGGAATTGATCCTGTAAAAAAGAAAAATGTATAAAATAAAGGAAAAAAGAGAAAGTAAAGAGATGAAGAAAGCCCACACACACACACACACACACACACACACTATAACAAAACTATTTGCTGTACACAAGATTTTTTAAACATTTTTTTAAATCTACAATTTTCCAGCAAATCTGAAGTTAATTCTTTTTAGATACAGTTTCAACAATTCTGAATAAACTAAATTTATGTCTCTACCTACAATTCAGGAATCAGGAACACAAACAGATGCTGCTCTAAGTATCCACCTAGTGAATTCAACCTTGTTGTGTAGGACCTTCTGTCTCTAATTTGCTGAAATGCCTTCTATAATTTGCTGGATCTGCCCTGGATTTATTCTGCTAACAGTATGAAGTACTGCTATCGTATCTTACAGACCAGGATTTTTTGAAAGGTTTTTAATTTTATTCTTTTTAATTTTCTCATCATCCTACTACTGGCATGTTATTGCATGAACAGTGATCAGCAGAGTAAAATACAATGAAAAAACATAATGCAAAGCTGCCATTATAAAACATTTAACACTGAATACCTCTGGCCTGAGTCATAAAATTGAAAGCATAAAAACATAACTCTCCATACCATGCCTACCTTCCCCAAAATCAGGAGTTTTAAAAGTGATGTAAATCTTAGGAAAACAATTTGAGAATGATAGCATGGATGGTGCAGAAAGAGAAGAAGGATTGCAGGAGCAAAAGCCCAGTGTCTTGCTGCTGTGTAGACTCTGAAAACAGCAATTTCTGTCCGGTGTAAATTTCCAAGCCCAACTTTGTAGCAAAATATCAACTTGACTTCATGATATCCTTTCACTCAGTGTCAGCAACACTATTTTTCTGTTCTCCTGCTGGAGAAAAATTCTTTTTACAAGGCATAAGCAAGCTTGCTTCATACTATATGCTATCTCCACCCCTGGTGTCAAAGACTTAATAAAGCAATGCCAGCTAAAATAGAGCTGCTGGTTTCTAGAAATAATTTTTGTTTGAACACAAACACAACAAAGGGCAAAGGCACATTATATGTGAAGGTGGGCAGTGGGAAGACAATTCTCGCCCGACTCCTGAAACGCAGCTTACAGAATGAGCAACTGGGGAAAACAGACTCATTCCATCCCTACGCAGCAGCCATAGAAGATCTCTCCGAAAACCAGAAAAAATAGTTGCCGAGCACAAAATCCATCTTTGAAAATTCTTCCCCACGTCAGAAACAGGAGGAAAAGTATACTAATGTTAATTATTTCTATTCCAGCCATAAAACAGAGGTAAGAGCTGGTAAATCAGTTATGATTCTTTCAGTATAGCATTACAATTATGTGTGTTAATGTTCTTGAATTATTTTAAAAAAAATGCACAGGAAACATCTGCTAAGAATGCTATATCAGATGGCAATTAGCTCCCAAAACGAGTAGAAGGGTTAATTGACAGCTTTCAGAAAAACTGAGGAAAATGTATCAATTGAAGCAATAATTGCTGTATGTTTTTATAACCACCTGAAAGGATGGAGTGCATTATTTTGTGTGACAGAACTCAAAACAAATGTGCCAAAAATGAATAAATAAATAAAATAAAAAAGAAGAAAATCTTTCAAGTTTACATTCTGTTACATTTTTCCAGCTTGGCACAGGTGACCACCAGGTAATTAGGAGGCGATTCCCACATGCTTGCCGGCTCTGATCATAATATCATAGAAAAGTAGGACTGAAGGGGACCTCACAAAGTCATCTAGTCCAGCCCTGTAATCAAGGCAGGACCTTCCCAACTAAACCATCCTAGACAACTATCTATCCAACTTGCTTTTGAACATTTCCAGGGATGGAGATTCCACAGTTTCTCTAAGTAACTTGTTCCAATGCTTGACCACCACTTCAACCAGGAAGTGCCTCCTAATTTCCAGTTTAAATTTCCTCTGTTGCAGCTTAAGGCCATGCTTCCTAGTCTTGTGCCCTATGGCCACAGAAGCCACCCAGCTCCATCTTGTCTATAAATCGCCCTTCAGGTATTTGAAGACTGTTCATTAAAACCCTCATCAATCTCGTCTTCTCCAGGCTGCATAACTAGTTCAGCAGTTCCCAACCTGTGGTATGCACATCACCAGTAGTCTCCAGACAACCCGTCAGTGGTGCATGTTAACAGATTTATTATAATTACTTTATATGACAAGAATTTGCTGGTGGTACTTAAGGCTGTATCATTTTAAATTGGTGGTGTGCAATCTGTCAGACTTTGGGAACCACTGCTCTAGTTCCTTCAGCCTTTCCTAACAAGTCTTGTTCTCCAGGCCACTGATCATTTTTACTGCCCTGTGCTGGACTCTTTCCAAACTGTCCACATCCTTCTTCAAGTATGGAGCCCAAAACTGGACACAGTACTCCAAGTGAGGCCTCAAAATGCCAAGTAGAGTGAAAGGGGTGTAGGTTGTAGCCATGTTGGTCTAAGGACATAGGCAGACATGGTTCTTTGGGTGAATCCGATATCTTTTATTAGACCAACTTAAATAGTTGGAAAACAATTAAGCTTTTGTTCTCCAACTATTTAAGTTGGTCTAATAAAAGATATCAAAAATTCACCCAAAGAACCTTGTCTGCCTAAGTATAATGAAAGAATCATTTCCCTTGATTTGAAAGTGACCCTACCATAAATACAACCTAAGATGCTGTTGGCTTTTTTGCAACAAGAGCACACTGTTTGTTCATATTCAGTTTATGGTCCACTGTAACCCCCAGGTCCTTCTCTGCGCTACTGCAGTCTGGCCAGTCATTCCTCACTCTGTGTTTGTGCATGAGCTTATTCCATCCCAACTGCAGGATTTTACACTTGTTCTTGTTGAGTCTCTTTTGATCGACTGCAGGCCATATTTCTTGTCTATACAGGACATTCAACAACCTAGCCCTGCCCTCCACAGTGACTGCAGGACCAAGCAATTTGATGTCATGCACAAATTTGCTAAGTGCATGTTGAATCCCATCATTCAGATTGTTAAAGAAAATGTTGAACAGTACCTGAGGTCAGGCTGACAGGTCTGTAATTCCTCAGACCTTCCTTCTTCCCTTTCTTAAGAGGTGGGTACTATACTTGACTTTTTCCAATCACCTGGAACCTCACCAGACCTCCATGAGTTGTCAAAGAGGATAGCTCTCGGCTCTAAACTTACCTCAGCGAATTCCTTCAGCGACATAGGCCCCCTTCACGTGAGCAGGGGCATAAATTTGCAGCAGCACAAAAGTAACCGCAGAAATTTGTGCACGCCCCTGCCCATGTGCTTTGCAGCAGGATACATTGTTCCTCTGCTCCATGGAGGACTGGCTGGGGGGCAGCACATAGACACGAAAGAGCAGGCAGCCCCTGCACACTGCGGAGCACCCTGAGCCCCAGGCAGCTGCTCCTGGGCTGGTT